GCCACCTCTGCAATTCCTGAGTGATTTTCTTGAACAGGGGGCCATAGTTAAGAAGATACAGGTCCGAGGCCCGGCCGGATAGATCTAGACCAGTATTATAGGGCAGCACGAATTGGACAGCTTTCTACGATCTATTGTAAGAAGTATCGGCCGGATTGGATCTTGATGGAGCCCTTGTCTGCCTCGGGCTTGTCAATTGAGCAGTTAAAGTGGATGACCCGGAGACAGAGACCGGCGGTTTTGGCCCCGACGCTCTTGCACTCCCTCTCTGTGTGGGATGGGGTGAGGGAAAGTGGGGAGTTTGTTTCAGGTTATACTCCCCTAGCACCTATCTTTGGGAACCCTAGGTTTATACCAGGGTGGCACGGCGGGACATTCAAATGGTGGCAGGATAAAGGGCTATATCGTATAGCACAGGGGTTTAGGGAGCGCAGACCTTTGACATTAGGATACTGCCAGGAGACTCTACATATGCCTCAGGGGGAATTGTTTCGATTCAGGCAGTTGCACTACTTTCTGGCTTCGTTGCAGGTTCCGGGGCCCGGCAGACAGTTTACTGCAATATATGAGAGATGGTGCTTGGGGGACGAAGGCCAAAGGGGGGGTGTATCCTTGATTTATTCTCTTCTGGTGGAGACGGAGGAGAAATTGCCTTATATGAAAGCATGGGAACGAGATCTGGAAATTGACATCCCTAGGGAGGCCTGGCAACGCTGCTGTAAGCGGGGTGCCCTGGGGTTAACTAACGTATCTTTGATAGAAGCAAACTATAAAGTAATGGCTAGGTGGTATTTGGTCCCTTCTAGGCTGGCCAAAATTTACCCGGATGTGTCGTCAGCCTGTTTCAGGGGATGTATACACCCGGGTACGATGTATCATATATGGTGGCAATGCCCTAAAATTAAGCCCTTTTGGAATAGTGTATATGCACTTATATATAGAATCTTAGGGGTTCATGCTCCAAGGGAAGCTCAATTTGCACTGTTGAATTTCCCGATTCCAGGGATTACTAAGGCGCAGGATAGCCTAATCTCTTTTTTTCTATTGGCAGCTAAAATTAATATAGCGAAAGCCTGGAAGACACCAACTGTCTCCATTAAACAGCTTAAATTAAAAATGTCATGGATCATGATACATGAGAGGATGAATAGTAGGCTCGGAGATAGTGAAAAGAGATTTGAGCTAGTATGGTCTCCCTGGATGAAATACATCGGTGTGAGTAATGATATATGAAGTTGGTGCAGAACAGACGGGTTGAACTCACGTAGAAACAAATAAGCTCCTCAATATCCTGTTTTCCCTTTAATGAAGTATAATGGGGTAAGGGATATATGATATTGGGGGAAATGGTATGGTATAGAATAGTGGAATATATCATATATATGTATATATGTATGTATACATGTGTATATATATGTATATATGTCCATTGTCTTTGCAACCCGCAGATGCAGCAGTGCCGTCCGTCCGTTTTTTTACTACGGGCGGACGGCAAGAGGTTAAACTCTTGTTTTTTTTTTTTTTGTTTCTTTTCTTTTAGGTAATTTAAAAATAAGATCACAGAGATAGATATGTATAGGTTTGGGAGAGATGAATGTTACGTAATAATGTATGTATTTAGGTGTTATTTATATAGCTCTGCTCACCCACCTTTTTTAGGATGTATTGGGGGTGATAGATATGGGGGGAAGGTAGAGGAGTTCAAAACGGCTGTTCGAATTGTTTGTTTGTTTGTCTATGTATAGATGTTGTTATTTCTTAAAAACAAATAAAAGACTTTGAAAGTAAAAACACATAGGGATACATTGGGATGCATTTTGAGTGCAGCAGCGTACGGAGCCGGTCAGCACACAAAACGGACGTCGTGTGAACAGGCCCTAATATTTTATTTAACGTATCATACAGTCCTAACCTTGTTTAAAACAGTGACACATTTATCATTCCATATTACAGATTTTTACATGAAAGAGAGACAGAATATGTTTAACCACAAATAACTTTATTATCACAAAGATTATAAGCAGTTTGTATACTTATAACAGAAGTGCTATTAGCTATTAGCATAGCGAGGAAGCCGGCTGCGCATTTTGCATAGCTCCCGCAAAGCTAATAGCGTATCTTCTCAGAAGCTGCATACAGCACACGCCGGTTTAAGTAGTAACCAGCACGCTCTATATGCAGCTTCTGACAGCGTGGGAGACAGAAGGCTGTGCTTGTCAGTGGATCCAGTGACCAGGTGAGTATTAAAATATTTTTATTTTATTTTATGTTCCCGGGGACATGTAGGGCTCATTCACACTGGAATCGGCCGGCACATACAGCTCCGTGCACAGCCGTATCGGGCAGCTCCTGGGAAGGACAGGTGCTGTGTGTGATTAGTACACAGCCCCTGTTCTTCTCTAAAGGACTAAGCGGCCGTAAGCCGCCCTACGCTCACCCGTCCTGCACGTCCGTACGAGCATACGAGTCTCTCAGCCGTCTCTCAGCCGTCTCTCTGTCACCTGCACCGCTACAGATGCGGCTCTCTAAATGTGCAGCCGCTCGCTCCTCAAGGGGGCCCTCGACAACCCAACCTCACCTAACATATGCAGGCTGCAGCACCTATTCATCTGCGTCCTTGGCGGCCAGTGGAGGGGAGGGGTCACAGGAGAGGGTCCTCACAATGACTCACATACCAGGATGTGGCTGCCTGACGGTGCCTGCAGAGACGTGTATCGGCTCCGCCAAGCTAACAGTCATTGCCAATGACAGGCAGCTGCACAGCCGCCTGTTTCATTCGGATCCCCACATACGCACAGCCGCCGGTACATACAGCTGTCCCTCTGTGTCACGGACTTTACTGCAGTTTTTTTTACAATGAACCGCAGTAAAGTCTGTGACACAGAGGGAAAGCTTTATGTAGTTGTGTCACAAACTGCGGGTGGCAGACGCAAGGATCGGGACTTGGGACAGGAGCGGCATTAATCGGGGGGGGGGATTGCCCCGTTGCCCCCCTGGATCTGCCACTGGACACATATAGAACTATAAAGAATCCTGCAACGGGAAGTTGTTCTCATTAGCCATTGGAAAAAAAGTGATTTTAGAAGCTTACTTCTAAAATCGTTGCCACGGGTTAACCTAGGCTTAATGTATAATGCTGCATACAGTATAATGTGCCTGTCAAACATTAAAAGGGAAGCTTTCACAAGGCAAAAGTCCTGTGTAAAAATACCCAACTGAATCTGCAATTTTGCTACAGTCTTATTGTGCGGCATTGAACCCAACATTGTTGAAATTCACTGGAAACTATGTCACTGCCTAGAAACCGGTATGAGACAAGATTTTAGAGACCCAGAGCACATTGTGACAGGTTTCCTTTAAAACATATATTTTCAACTACTATACATGATGACAATGTCAAGAAAGCAAAAAACGTTTGATGAAGTGTTTTCAGCAAGTGTTAAAAAAGAGGTTTATGATAATAAAATGACAATTCAAAAAAAGTACAGATTGACCAAAATTAGGTGAAAACTTCACATATGGTCATTACCACTACATGCTTAAAAAAAAGCCAGTTTGACTGGCGAGTACTTAACAAATAAATATGAAAAGCTGCTTCGTTGGCAATTTAGTAAATGCACTGGCTGTATGACCAGGTGCAAACTATTTTTAGCAATGAGCACAAAATACACAATGACAGATTTGGCTGGCAGCATTTTCTTTTGGCAATTTAACTGTTATTAGACATTTTGCTGCATGCAATACATAATGAAGGTGTAGCCCGTACCACTTTCAGATGACTGGCTACTAGAAATTTAGCTTTGCTAGTAGTGTAATCAGTATAGCTGATTTGTAGTTTGACATTATCTGGTTAATTCCAGTTGCTCTGCTATTGATTGCTCCTGAGTGGGGTGTGACTCTGCTACAGAGTGGGGTGTGACTCTGCTACAGAGTGGGGCAGCCAATAGGAGAACATGAATGCTGGGGGAGTGCAAAAATACTCAGGAGTTGCCATGTGCTTGAGGGCAGTCCATCCCCAAGCTTGGCCTGGGGGGTGGCATCTGCAGTGCTGGGAAAGCTGACTGGGCCTCAAGCCTGGAAGAGGCCACATCTGGAACTGTCTGGGAAAGAGAACTAAAGAAGCCTTATGATGGATGGAGGTACCAGGAGCTGATATGGACCTCAGGAAAAAGGCTGGTGTCTCTCCAAGGAAGGATCTCATGCACATACCTATTTAGCTATTGCTCTATTGCCCAGTGTCAGCCTGTTCTCTTAATAATTCTGCACTTTGTAAGTCTGAAGGGATTGTTGAGTCTGAAGTCTGTTCTATTTTTGCTATGGATGTCTGAAACCCTATATCCCCTCTCCCAGTTATGCTGTTCTCAATAAAGCATTTAAAAAGGTACTTAAAGTGACTGGTGCCCAATTTGTCGATTACATGTCCCTTTACTGGCTGAGGATCTGCCCCTGAAAGTGAAATGTCGACCCCCCTGCCCTTTGGGAGTCCTCCTCAGGCCTCTGGGGGTCAGGGAGGCACCGCAGAGGATAGCTAAGTGTTAGTCTTCCTGCTGGCAATTTAAAAAGTGTCAGGATAGCTTCAAGCAATATATAATGCAGGACGAATGAGTTCATGACAGTCTTCTCTATTGGCAATTTGGAAAACAAACTAAAAGTGTAAGCATGTTGCAAGTAATTTAGAATGCAGGATACCCATGTGGTTGGCAGTCTTTTCTGTTGGCAATTTGACAAGTCTAAGCTTTTTTGAAAGATATTCAAAATGAGGAATGCCAAAGTAGCTGGCAATCTGACAAGTGTAAGCTTTGCAGCAAGCAACTGAAAGTGCAGGGCAGCCAAATAGCTGCCAGTCTTCTCTGCAAGCAATTTGATAACTGGACTAGCAGAATTGCAAATATGTCAGATTTGCAGAAGAACATAGACATTATGGCAAATCAACAAGTGTTTCTTTTAACGCAATCAATACAGAATGTAAAAAGACTTCAAGGGTTATTCACTAAGCTGCCGAAGGCAGCCGAGTGCATAACCGAGCCAAAGTGAACAACAACGCTCGGCTATTTACTCTGGCTCACTATGACTGATTTCAACTGTACATCGGCTGAAATGAGCTGAGCCGAAGTGCAGAAGGAGTTCGACTCAGCCGATCCAACAGCCGAATGCCGCCAAGTGTGGTACCTCCGTACCGAGCGTGGTACTAAACGTGGTACCGAGCAGAATAGCAAATAAGTGTAAAGATAAGTGTAAATGTTAAAAAAACAATTGCTAAATGATTTAAAAAATGTAAAAAAATAGGAAGATTAAAAAAAAAGATGTTTGCAGCTCCGTGCAACTGTTTCCTATTGGCCGCCACCTGCTAGAATCTTCTGGCAGGTCCCAGCCAATGAATAACAACTGGGTGGAGCCGACCATGATGTCACGGCCAGATCTGCCCAGTTGTTATTGTTTGTTTAATGACAGATCAGTCATTTGGGGACGCTGATCTGTCATTACAACTGGGCAGAGGCAGCGGTGAGATCACCACTTGCTCTGCCCAGCTTTAATTTGCAGGGTGAACGGCCGGCCTTCGGCAGGTCTTTTGACCCGCTTTGGCTGTTACTTCGGCTCACTTCGGCTGTTACTTTTGGCTGAGCCGCTCCGCCACCTTTGGAACTGTACAGGCTATAGTGAATAGCCCATACAGCAGCCCTTTGGGTCGACTGAACTGCAGGGCTTCGGTGGCCGAAGAATCAGCCAACGCTATGGCTTAATAACCCCCTTTGTCTTCAAGAGTATTTCCTGTTAACAATCTGGAAAATGCACTTGTAGCTTTGCTTAGTATTAGTGTTATATACTACTAGAGGTGACAGTAATCTCAGAAGCTAAACCTCAAAAATGAATTCAAGTACCCTAACTATTAACAAAAATGTAGCTTATTTGTACACCACTCAGCTGTAGATCCTGAACTCTGAATTTGTGCTGACACTGTCCTTCCTTCTGGAGGGTGGCTACTTTTATTCCCCATGTCCCTGTGTGTGTTGTAAAGTAGCCACCACTCCAAGCTCACCCTAATGATGGACTGAAATCTCATGTTTAGTTTACTCATCTTTAATGAGATAGTACTCCATCATGGAAGTGAGCTTGGAGTGGTGGCTAATTTACAACGCACACAGTGAACATGAGGAACAAATGTAGCCACCCTCCAGAAGGAACGACAATGTCAGCATGAATTCAAAGATGATTTGGGGATCTACCGCCAAGGTATACTGAAAGATGGCGAACGTGCCGGCCGCCGCGCATTCTGCAAACAAATTTAGGTATGCCTGAATATAGTTTTAGTATATTGGGGCATATAATACATTTGTTATTTTGGATTCGGACGAACCGCTGAATCAACTGAATTTCATTGATTTGCAGGTTTGTCCGAATGCACACGTCTAATAACTAGTGCTAATCTGCAGAATGTCTCTACACAACATGTCAAAGACATCTTAACAGTTAATAGTTTAAAAAAATAGATGATTATTTAAAAAAATTTGCAGAAAATTACAGATTAAATGATCATGAGTGAAGTGTCACCCTTACAAAAAATTGGGTATGCACTGAGACTTAAAACATCAAACACAAGACAAACTCGTTTCCCTTGTAGGCAGACCTGTATTGGATGAAATCTCCCATACACCCTCTCATATTACAAAATATTTGACCACAACATTGATTCATTTCTCATTCCATGATGGCCCATAGAGGCCTCTAGAATCATTACAAATAATTATATGTACAATTATTTATAAATGAAATTGGATATCTTATTTTCTATTTTGATCCTGCAAATGCAATGGCATCCAGTAAAGAGAAGTGTTCCTTAAATATTCGAATAGCTAAGCAGCTTGTTCCTGGAGAAGCCTTTCAGACAGCATGACATTTGGTCACACATTTACTGTATATCAGGTAAACAAAACAAGATATTTATTCCAGACAGGCAAAACAAGACAAGATTTAACCCTTATAAGCAAACGTCTTTCTTAACAGGTGTGACTTGTAATGTAGACGGCTAATAATATTTGTGTATCTACTTCATATGAAGCCGTTTTAAATGTTTGTATACTTTGACTTACGTGTATCATTCTGCTCACCCTTGCTTTCAAGCATACAACTCGACTATAGAAGAACAGATTGAGGGCCCATTTACAACATTGTAGTACATTTAACACACATATCAATAGGTTGCAATGTGTATTACATTAAGGCAGCCCTTTTATTTGAATAGACTACATAACAAGCAAGAATGCACTTAACCGGTTAATGCAGCAATTTTGTCAGTGCACCACAGTGTAGTTAGTCTATTGAAAAGGTGCATTGGGGTGCCAATTACATTGCAGTGCCATTTTTTAAAGAATGTGTCGTAATCCTGAAGTCTAAATGAGCTTTCTGTTCAAATCAGTTAAATACATTCTAGTTACAAACAAAAGAAAGAAAAGGAAAGACTGTCTCCTGTAAGCATGCTGTAGATAAGGATCCTTGCTCTTCGTGTGGGAGCAATGGCTTCTCTGCAGAAGTCCCCACCCTGATTCAGACCTTTAGCTTCTCAAGAGCAAAAAGCATGCTCCCTGCTGAGTGAAGAGCCTTAGCAAGGGATGTGTCAGGCTGTGGCTGCTTACTAAGAAAGCCAACCGTAAGATTCGGAACATCTCTTGCCACATCGGGAATGTATTTAGCTCATATTAACAGAAAGTTAAACTTCTTTTTAGGGCCCTTTGTCAATTGGCTCTTGTTCATATTAGAAGTACCTCTCTCTCCAAACAAGTCAATTTTAATGCAAAATCAACTGATGCAGCTTAGAAGGAGGTACAAAGCAGGTCAGGAGGATGTCAACTACAGCTAAATGCATCTGCCAAGGAACTCTGAGTGATATCAAAATCATCTCACAGTGATCCCAAATGCAAATTGAAAGCACCAGAAATCAGGCTTCATTTCCCCATTAGCACAAGCCCTAACTGTGTTTGGGAGTCCTGGAATAACTATTTCTAGAGGGATGATGAGACATGAGCCCTTTTCATTAGTTAGCATATTTGGTCTTTGGGAAGAAGCACGATAAGACAGTAACTATTTAAAGTTTCATCTGACCAGATAACCAGTGTTCTGTTTATTTACCCAGTAAGATTAAGTGGAAAAACAACGTTATAGATGTATCTCTTTAACTAAATAATAGAGTTTAATTGGTCTTGTCTAATATTAAATGACAATAAATGTTAATACCTTTGAAAAACTATTATTTATACAAACTAAAAATGTTTTAAACTATTCTGTTATTTCAAATTAAAGTAGATGCAATAGACAACTTAAAACAACTTTTTAATCAAATGCATTCCATTTTGGAATTCAAATCTTTTAGCAGGGGTATATTAGGGGAGGAGAAGGCATAGGGGGGAGCAAATGTAGGTTTGTATGCTTTAAACAAAAACCTACCAGCACTGCACTTAGTAACAGTTCATGCAAAGAGAGCCTTGTCTGGCAGCAAAACAGATTCTCACTGTTAGTTTAGAGGTGGTTTCCTATCTACATATTTAGCTCAATAAAATAAACTTACAATGATTGTAGATTGTGCCATAGAGCTGTTGGAAATTGCATGGTTGGGTGCATTTTAAGGACTTCATTTTGAATCCTGAAAGCACTAAAGGTTTTTCCAGGCCTTCCACACTAATTATCGAACAGAATAACAGGTTAGAATAAGCAAGCACAAGAGAATTGATTATCACCTGCATTTTTCTTATGTGAGTAACATTCACAAGTTATGCAAATAGAAGCTAGTTTTAATCTGTTCATACACATTAAGTTTCACAATTCAGCTAATTTTGTTTCAATTGTATTTGCAACTATACAGCAATTTATCCTAAAAATGTTAATTATACTTTTAGCCACTCGTAAATGGTCTAGGCCATGAGAAGGGTGTGTGTATGTATATATATATATATATAAATATATAAAGGACATTTCAACTAATTATAATTCTAAACAATGGTGGTATTTTGTTTAATAGGAGATTCATACTTTTCCATACTCTCTCAAGAAAAGCTCATCCAGCCATAACTGCAGGTGAATAAGGTGCAGAAACTAGCCCAGCACCTGTGATGTCAAGCCTGGGCCAAAAGGAAGCACCACAAACTAGATCTGGCACTGCTCCACCATGAAGCAAATGACACTAATGGATCACAAAAAGGGGAACATGAAGACAGGCGGGGAAACTCCAGTTTCAGATCAATAACACTGACCTTTGGAATTCTGTACCCAGCTTTTGATGGTGCACACAGTTCTTCTAGTTTAGAATGGGACAAATTCCCTCTTTGGTTAAAAACAGTGAAACGGTCTGAATAAAACGGATAAAAATGGCTGTTGGCTGATGTGATGAGCAAAAAACACAAAATACAAATAAAAATGCTGAGTGTTCAACTAAATCTTTGAGGGTTGAAAGCAAGTCCGAGTCAGGGTGAACAAAAATCTATTTTTCAGCCCTGAGAAACATATGCAGAACCCATGCATGTGAGATGCAAGTGACCTGCAAGTGACCTCGAATACCAACAGACACACCTTAACTGAATAAGTGTATCTTCCAGAAGATTGTCAAGTACCTTAGAGGAGTCTGAGATGTCGAGGGTGGCCTCTCTCACTACTCTGGTCCTGGGGCACCTGGATGGGCAGAGGCGCACCGGGGCATAAAGGGGCAGGTATGCCAATAGTAGATGAATCAGATGAGCAGGAGATGCAGAGATGGTTGCAGGTCAAGTAGGCAAAGGATAAGCAGAATAGTTAGGACAGGCAGAGGTCATCAATGTGCATGTAACGCAGTACAGAGGATGAGGCAGAACAACGTCAGGAACAAGCCAAGGGTCAATCACTGGAGAGAAGCAGAAGGGTCAAGCCAAGCCGGGTCAATAACAGCGAAACACTTCAGGAACAGGATACAGGAACACAGGGAAGCTGACAAATCTGACAGCAAAGGAGGCCTGCAGTCACAGCCTTAAATAGCCCAGAGGGCACCAAACATTCAAACAATATGTACGCGTGCACGTTCACACAGAGACGCTGCATCTGATACAGCTCTATGGGCTGCACCAGGCGCAAACCGCAGTGTAAGAACTCTGGCTCCGGCTCTGGCTTCCTGACAAAGATATTCTGAAGGCTGCCAGGATTCACAGAGTCAGAAGCCCTAAAAGGACATAAGATGGTAGTGGACAAAAAAAACACTCTCAGGAATAAGAGGAGCGGGAAAATTAGCATGGTGAGCCCTTATGTTACCATATCTGGGAGAAATGTATTTTCTTATACTGGGTGCAGATTAGATCACCAAGTGAAGCACTAAACAACTGCATGTGAAATTAAGGCCCATAAAATTAAGGCCAAGGCTATCTGAACCAGTTGGCACTTATGGCAGAAAACTCTACAGGTAGGGATCTAGGCTATTCCTAAGAGTCTGAGCACTATACAGGCTATGGGACTGATCCCAACAATCTGAACAGGATAAGGGTTCCAACCACTTATTTCTGGGATCCTAAAAGGAAGGGCCCTCCTTCACAGCAAGGGAAATGGCCTTGTTAACATGGAACCCTAGAGCCCCCACCAATGGACGAGAGAACCCTCAGACACAAAACAAACAATATTCAAAAAAATATATCAGAGTTTACAAATTTTAGAAGATAAACTATTAAAAAGGATAATGAAATAATGAAAAAGTCCTGTCAAAAAAAAGTCCTTTCAAAACTCCTGGAGCTGAAAGGCTAACCAGTGCTAAGAGGTATGGCAGGCATATCCCCTAACCTAGTTAATGACTGCTTAATAGGCAACCAGCCACCTCTCTGTATGGGTGACATTGCCAAGTCCTTGGGAACTCAGTAAGGGCCTTATTATCTAGACTCAGAGTGTAACAGCTGACCCCTCAGTAGCAGTGTGGATGCT